TCTTTTACGTGTATTTTTTGTGACAACTCAAAATGTATAAAAAGGATGCACTTTTGACCTGAATAAACTTAACTTTTGTTTAAGTTCAATAAATATCTCTCTAAGTTCACTGTCTAATTGAAATCATTTATAATTTCATTAAGACTTTTACACCAATATTTTTTGTTAATTTTGTAATTTTATTTGGATGTCGACTTTTCAAATGTTTATAAAAATTAGAAGTACTGCCATTAACACATGCGTAAAAATTTCTATTTAAATAAATAAAAATATTAAATTATTATTTTTATAATTTTTTTAATAATTAAATTTAAATTACTTACTTACAATAATTACATTTTGCTTTTGATTTTATATTGTCCCAATTATAATATATTCATATTTTACTTTTTGTTTTTTTGTTTTTATTAAATATATTAATATCATCATATATTTCATTATTAATATTTTCTGATTCTTGATTAGTATCACTATCAAGTATAAAAAAATTATTTATATTTTGAAATGAAGACATTTGTTATTTTTTAAATAATAAAAAAAAAATAACAAAATTAAGTTGACAAAAAAAACAAACTTAGCTTTAGCAAAAAAATTTTTTTCATTATTCAAAATTTATTTTATTTATATAAGAGAAATATTATAAAAACAATATATAATAAAAAAAAACTTTCACCCATTCATTATTAATTTTTTAAAATTTTCTTTTTAGAAAATCTTCTTTCAAGAAGTATCTTCTTTTCTTTATTTTCTAAGACAAATAAGCTTTAAATACAAAAGACATAAAGACTTTAAGAAATACTGTTATATTGGAATAGGATCTCTGGTTAAAATCTAAACAAGTTAAGAGTCTTCCTTGACTTTTAGTTGTATGAGAAAAACTTGTAGCAGCCTTTCTTCATAATTTTTTAACTTTAGTTACTTTTTTCTTTATGACCATAATAATTGCTTTTCCTTTCATCTTTTTCTTTCTATAACATGAATTCAATTCTAATAACACATTCAAATAAAGTTATTGAATCTAATGTTTGTCTTAATACAACCTTTGCAAATTTATTATTTTTCTTCTTATCTAAATATCAATACTATACCTTATTTTTTCACTTTTTTATATTATTTTCAAATCTATTCAAAAAACCATAATTAGTTCTACTCTATCCAAAGATTTACATTAAAAAAATGATCAATAAAATTTCTTCACTTCTAACAACAACACCAAACTTGCTCAAACTTGTTCATAACCAGTTTTTTTAACAAAAAAATTCCCACACTTAATAACAATTACAATAGCAACAATAACAACAATATTGATAACAAAAAATGATCTAATAACTTATCAAATTGGAAGAGCATGTGACCTGTATTTTGTATGTATTCTAATAATCTTTACTTTACATGTATCCAAACAACAAAACAAGCAATTGGAGCAGGCTTCAGTTATCCAACTCACTTATATCTTAATTACAATATTCTTTTACTAATCACATAACTATTTATTATCTCAACAATGAAATTGCAACTCACAAATAGTAATACTATCATTAAAAAAAAAATGCAGCCAAAACTTAACCAATGTGAGTAAAAATAAAATATTTTTATTGTAAGTGGAAATGAAATATCAAGGAGTTGTATTCCATAATCTGGCAACTAAACTAGTATTTTTCTACTGTTGCTAGAGTCATGTTTAACTATTGAAAAGGAAGCAATAACCTAAGTAGACATATTTAGTTTGTGCTTTGCAGAAAGGATTGTTAGTTCAAAAATGATATGCTCTTAAATCTTAATACACATTACCATTACAACATTTTTTTTTTTATAAAACATTAACTATATGTCTTACTTATATTTAAATAATATATAGACTATTACATACATTATTAATTTCTTTTTCTTTTTAAACAAACTTCTATCATTCTTTTTTACAATTAATGATTTTGTCTGGAATGTTTTTTTTTTTATTTATTTTCATAGCAAATAGTTTCTCAGGTTTTTTTTTATAAGTTTCTTCTAATAATATATCTACTTATAATAGCAAGTCAATATGTATTATCATATACTTCATACTTTATTGATTTTGTATATAATTATTATAATAATTTTTCAAAAACTGAAAAAATTCACTACTATAATACTCTCACAAGCATGTTTCTTCCTAGCAAATCTGTTATGGAGTTTGAAAGGAGTTTTTTAAATCTTGTGTTAATTTATCAATATAAGAAAGGAATTACTTATTACTTCCCTTTATATCCATCTGTTCGGAATGCCTTATTAAAAACGTATATGTTATTTGACCTACCTGAAAATATAAAAAATTAATTCTATGTAGAAAGACTAACTGAAGAGCAATTTGAGAAAGCCTTATTCAATTAACTTGTATACAAATATAATACAACAATAAAACTCAATACAACTTATTTCAATAATAATAATAAAAATATTATTATACTTTAGTTTAATGACTATTATTTGATTAAAAATTCTCAATTATCTCTTGAACCTGATAATGATAAAGTCTTAGGTTGTGACTTTGATAGATACTTCTGATTTGATTATATGCTTGAACCTATATTTATACAGGTATCTGTCAGTGACTTTGTAACATATAACAGCAAACCATTAACAAATATCAGAAAAACATTTGAAACAATGTCTGCACTAGTTGGTATCTCTTTAGAGCAAATTAACAAAAGAAATCAGATTGAGATGTATTTGGATGAGATGTATGGCCCTGGTCATTCTGCTGTAATAGATTCACAAAATAAGTTTGTTGTTATCAGAAATAACAAGCACATGCTTGAATTTCATATTGTCTATATTCGAAGTAGTTCTGGTACTCCTAATTACTCTAAAAAAGTTTATGAATTTTCTAACATAACATATATCACCTTTGAAAAGATTGGAACTTAGCTTTTCTCAAATATAATATAATACACTTCCTGGCCAAAAGTTTAGGACCACCTAATAAAATTTAAATAATTGTAAATAATTTATTATTATTATTATAATATAAAT